ATTGAAAATGGAGCCCTAACCGCCCACCGTTACATTGAGGAAATCCTCCAAGAAGTTGTTGTTCCATTTGCTCCTTTTATTGGGAACGAATTCACATTAATGCATGATAATGCTAGACCTCACGTTGCACATGTAGTGAGCGAATACCTGGATGAAGTTGGACTTCCAAGATTGGAATGGCCTGCATGTAGCCCGGATCTCAACCCAATCGAACATCTTTGGGACCAACTTAAAAGAGCCGTTCGTCTACGTCCTGTACAACCACAAACCTTGCAAAACTTACGACTGGCGCTGACCGAAGAATATGAAGCTATTCCTCAAGAAAGAATAAGTGACCTTATTCATTCGATGCCGCGAAGACTGCAAGCTGTCATTGCTGCGAGAGGAGGAAATACACGTTATTGAATTGTTTTTGTTGATTAACTTCATGATATACCTGGTGTTTCTTTTTCTTAATAAAAATAGGCTTCAAATCAGCGTTTCATTTAAAATTTTGCAACTCTCAGCACAAATGAGATAATGGAATGAATCAAAAAAATAAATGTTTAGAATACATCAGAGATTACAAGAAACAGTATGTAAACAAAATTATCCATCTCAGTTTCCCTACAGGGTGTTTTGAAATTACGACAAAAAACAACATTTTGATTTCCTCCTGTATAATATAGCCTAATCGATAAATGATACTTTATAAAATGATTGAGGAAAAACATGATAAATGGATCTACAAACTGATAACAAAATCATGGAAATCGGATAAAAAATGAATAAGTTATAAAACTTCAAACTTGGACAAAATTTCAGGGTGGCGGAATTTTGTGCCGGTGAGTGTATATAACGAACTGATATCTAAGAATTATTTGTTGACATTCAATCCCTCAGTCATCTGGTGGTTTTTGTTTTTGGATGTATGACGAATTGATATTCATCCTGCAGGACGTGGAAAGAAATTCTGTGAATTGAGACGGTGCAACGGTGTTATTAAAAATTGAATAAAATATACCCGGTATACCAGGTGACACAGGAGACATGTATAGAAGCTTGTAGTTTTCTTATTTGAAGAGATAAAATCTTGAAATTCACAGGGGGTATATAATAAATGGTAGCGCACTTTACGAACTTTTTCCAACCACCTGTTTGACCGGAAGTGACCTCAACTTTTTTTTTAAATGTCACCATGTACATTTCTTCAGTCTATCTTTTTCGCCTTGAAATTCTCTATCCAACCATGTATCACAAAGTGGCATTTATTTCTTAATTAGCTGTTGAATTGCTTTTATTTCAAAAAGAATAAGTTGGCTGTGACATGTATTCGATGATATATCGACACTTGGTAGGCTTTGAAATTCAAAGATCATTAGTAAACCGATATTATTCAAAATGTTTTGATATTCTGATCAATGTCTGCAGGTTGTCAATAGCTTGTTTGAGTCGAGATGAAAACCTTCGAAAATAACTCATGATATTGAGGAATTTAAGATAGGAACATATTTTTTCAAATTCAGCTACTCTTACAGAAACTATCTGTCTTTTATTTTCGCCATGTACCTTTCACATATGATCTTCCCATTTGGAATAATAAAACTAAAATTGTTCCTCTTATACGATGATTTACAGGGCTATCAGTCTTTTTTTTTCATAATTATTTCACTTAGTAGGCGGTGTACCTACACAAAATGTTTTATGTGTTTGACAGTTAATCGATTGCATCAATAATTTTTCTTCTTCATTTGTGTGTTGATTAAAATTGCATATTAACAACATATCGACTTTTTCGTTTCTTGAATACATTTGGGTTGGGTTACTAGATCTGGTAACATATCTTAGGTTAGGTTACTAGATCTGGTAACATATCTTAGGTTGGGTTACTAGATCTGGTAACATATCTTAGGTTGGGTTACTAGATCTGGTAACATATCTTAGGTTGGGTTACTAGATCTGGTAACATATCTTAGGTTGGGTTACTAGATCTAGTAACATATCTTAGGTTAGGTTACTAGATCTGGTTACATATCGACTTTTTCGTTTCTTGAATACATTTTCCGTCTCTATTGATAATATGCAATTTTAATTAACACACAAATGAAGAAGAAAAATTATTGATGCAATATCGATTAACTGTCAAACACATAAAACATTTTGTGTAGGTACACCGCCTACTAAGTGAAATAATTATGAAAAAAATAGACTGAGAGCCCTGTGGATCATCGTATAAGAGGAACAATTTTAGTTTTATTATTCCAAATGGGAAGACCATATTATGTGATAGGTACATGGCGGAAATAAAAGACAGATAGTTTCTGTACGAGTAGCTAAATTGGAAAAAATATGTTCCTATCTTATCTATATCAATATCATGAGTTATTTTTGAAGGTTTTCATCTCGACTCAAACAAGCTATTGACAACCTGCAGACATTGATCAGAATATCAAAACATTTTGAATAATATCGGTTTACTAATGGTATTTTAATTTCAAAGCCTACCTACCAAGTGTCGATATATCATCGAATTCATGTCACAGCCAACTTATACTTTTTGCAATAAAAGCAATTCAACAGCTAATTAAGAAATGCCACTTTGTGATACATGGTTGGATAGAGAATTTCAAGGCGAAAAAGATAGACTGAAGAAATGTACAGGGTGACATTTAAAAAAAAAAATTGGGGTCACTTCCGGTCAAACAGGTGGTTGAAAAAAATTGTCGCTAAGTTCGTAAAGTGCGCTACCATTTATTATATACCCCCCGTGAATTTCAAAATTGTATCTCTTCAAATAAAAAAACTACGGGCTGCTACATGTCTCCTGTGTCACCCGGTATAGTCAGGGGGATAAGGAAAAAAGGAATAAAATAAACAAGAAGTGAAAAATAGGGATTTGGGAAGTGAATTGGAAAACAGAAAGTATTTACGGACGTAGTGAATTTATTGGTAGTGTATAGTAGAAAGGGGATGATAGAAGGAAGAGTAGCAGAAAGGAGATGGTGAATGGTGAAGAAATCTCGGAAGAAATGGTACACATAAGCAAGAAGATTGCAGAAAACTAAGGAATTGGCAAGACACCAGCTATTTGGAACTGATTTAATTAAATATTAAGAACGAGGATCGTTACATTTGGCGCCCGAGCAGAAAAAATAAAAATGAATACATTCTGGATTAGTAAAATATGGATTGTCGAATCTGAATTGACACTGACAATATGAATATAAATATATTAGATTTTGAATTCCTGGATAAAACTGGGGATTATTAAAGACAATTAGGTTTGCTTACATGGTGAACTAGGTATTATATTGAAATTTCCTATATCATTACATTGCATTAATTGTAGATTTACAGCTGTTGATTGACGTAATGACTTATCTCCATTTGATATTAAATTCGTCATTGATATACAGTGTGTCCCACTTACCATGCTCACCATGGGTATCTTTTTAACGGTGAGAGATACGAGGTCGGTTAAATGACACCAAATGTGGAGTTTCTCAAGGCCAACTATAATGTGAAAAAATATTTTGATAAAATCTATTCGTTTTTGTTTTATACGCAAAAAACAGATTTTGATCATTTTCATGTCTCCTCCGTAACTTCTTCATTTATGAAAATATTCAAATAGGAATTTCACATTCCCATGGCAGTTTTTCAAAGTGATTTCGAGAAAAATATGAAATTTATGCCAACTCTTCTAGAATTTGAGATATTTGCACCAACTTTAGTTTTTCAAATGTAGGACATAGCTCGCTATGACTTAGATAAAAATGACTTTTTTTTCTCTCACAGATGATATGTCGCAAAAATAGTTTTGTGTTGATAACAACGGAGTTGTCATTTAAACAAAAACAAAAAAAATATTTGGGAGCCGCCATCTTGAATTTATGAATTTCAACGAAAAAATCATGAAATCCGACCTCAAAAACCCCCACTTACCAATTTTGAACCGAATCGGACCAAATCTTGTCCGCCATCTTGGAGCAGTCATTTTTTTTAATTCAACAAAAATTCCATAACTCCGATTACCTTGAAATTTGGCAGGTGTTCATGATTTCGGTGACAATACATTATGGAATTTTTGTTGAAATTAAAAAAATGACTGCTCCAAGATGGCGGACAAGATTTGGTCCGATTCCATTCAAAATTGGTAAGTGGAGGTTTTTGAGGTCGGAGATCATGATTTTTTTGATAAAATTCATAAATTCAAGATGGCGGCTCCCAAATAATTTTTTGTTTTTGTTTAAATGACGATAACTCCGTTGTTATCAACACAAAACTATTACTGCGACATATCATCTGTGAGAGAAAAAGAAGTCATTTTTATCTAAGTCATAGCGAGCTATGTCCTACATTTGAAAAACTAAAGTTGGTGCTAATATCTCAAATTCTAGAAGAGTTGGTATAAATTTCATATCTTTTTCGAAATCACTTTGAAAAACGGCCATGAGAATGTGAAATTCCTATTTGAATATTTTCACAAATAAAGAAGTTACGGAGGAGACATGAAAATGATCAAAATCTGTTTTTTGCGTATAAAACAAAAACGAATAGATTTTATCAAAATATTTTTCCACATTATAGTTGGCCTTGACAAACTCCACATTTGGTGTCATCTATTCGACCTCGTATCTCTCACCGTTAAAAAGATACCCATGGTGAGCATGGTAAGTGGGACACACTGTATAATACAGTAGGATTCATGCTGAGGAATTGATTTGAGTTATGATTTTATGAGTTTCATGAGTCAATGATTATTTCTTTTGTGGAAGTGCAAAGTTGAAGCGCTGTTTTAGCTAGTGAGTGTTTGTTTTTCTGATAAAATAAAAAAATAGTTGACAAAATATAATTGATATCTTCATCACATGGAGAATGCGATTTCTCGAAATATACAGTGTGGTCATTTAAGTGTGCAACATATGGAAATCTTTTTAATGAATCGCACAACCAAAATACAGATAGAGCCGAAAGTTGGTGCATGTTCAGTAATCATTTTAGGTTCTTCACTCACTCACCTTTATGTAAGGTGACTGATTGATTTCGCTGAGAATGTGCTCGATTTCGATGGCAGTGGTATCGGAAAGGTGTTTGAAAATATCGTCAGGATCTGCCATGTGACCTTCGGACAAAGGGGGCACCAACGAACTGAGATCGGACTGAGACAGCTCCCCCAAAGCCCCCGAAGATCCGGTGGCAGTGTTTTGTTGGCCGATGGCCTCAGAGGCATCCTGAAAAAATATATAGATCTAGGATGAATGAAGTCGAGAGAGTACTGTGACATTTTGGGGCAAATCATCTGATTTGTCCTTACTACACGTATATTGAAATAATATTAATTTTTTTTATTGTATAGAAACGAGGAGAGAAAGAAAAAAAAATTGGAATAATGAATTCAAGATATGTGACCAATCTAGTAACCTAACCTAAGATATGTTACCAGATCTAGTAACCTAACCTAAGATATGTTACCAGATCTAGTAACCTAACCTAAGATATGTTACTAGATCTGGTAACCTAACCTAAGATATGTTACCAGATCTAGTAACCTAACCTAAGATATGTTACCAGATCTAGTAACCTAACCTAAGATATGTTACTAGATCTGGTAACCTAACCTAAGATATGTTACCAGATTTAGTAACCTAACCTGAGATATGTTACCAGATCTAGTAACCCAACCTAAGATATGTCACCAGATCTAGTAACCTAACCTAAGATATGTTACCAGATCTAGTAACCTAACCTAAGATATGTTACTAGATCTGGTAACCTAACCTAAGATATGTTACCAGATCTAGTAACCTAACCTAAGATATGTTACCAGATCTAGTAACCTAACCTAAGATATGTTACTAGATCTGGTAACCTAACCTAAGATATGTTATCAGATTCAGTAACCTAACCTGAGATATGTTACCAGATCTAGTAACCCAACCTAAGATATGTCACCAGATCTAGTAACCTAACCTAAGATATGTTACCAGATCTAGTAACCTAACATAAGATATGTTACTAGATCTGGTAACCCAACCTGAGATATGTTACCAGATCTAGTAACCCAACCTAAGATATGTTACCAGATCTAGTAACCTAACCTAAGATATGTTACCAGATCTAGTAACCCAACCTAAGATATGTTACCAGATCTAGTAACCCAACCTAAGATATGTTACCAGATCTAGTAACCTAACTTGAGATATGTTACCAGATCTAGTAACCTAACCTGGGATATGTTACCAGATCTAGTAACCTAACCTAAGATATGTTACCAGATCTAGCAACCCAACCTAAGATATGTTACCAGATCTAGTAACCTAACCTAAGATATGTATACCTTTTCAACTTCAATTTCGGAAAAAGTAATCTCGATTTCAGAATTGGTTAGTTCGATTTCAGAAATGGTAAACTCAATTTCAGAATCGGTGAGATGAATTTCAGAAATAGTCCATTCAATTTCAGAAATGGTAAGTTGTATTTCAGAATTGGTAGGTTTAATTTCAGAAAAAAAATCCTTATATTTGTTCGAAATGTTTCCAATGGTATGTGAGATAACCAAACCATATTCACAATATTCAACTTGTCAAAAACAATTCAATAACATAATTATAATCTGAATTTAATCCACAAATGCCTTCCATCCGAATCGCTGGAAGATAATAGCACATGATTATAAGAATGCAAGCACATTTCAGGTGTTATCATTTTCATTGAATGATCTGCACATTCTTCAAGACATCGCAGTCTGAATTCTATCTGGTTCAGCAATCTGTTCGGATCCCCAGCTATGACCCTTTGGCGATGCTCTTGCAAGAAGCTCTTCACTTCTGACTTGAAGGCACCCCATATTTATGTTCAATCTGATTCAACATAGGGCTCTCAAACACCGTTCATCCACTGTAAACAATATTCTCTTTTGCAATTGAAAACATTTCAAACATATAAAAAGGATTTCATCTTCTGAAATTGAACCTACCAATAATAATTCTGAAATACAACTTACCATTTCTGAAATTGAATGGACTTTTTCTGAAATTCATCTCACCTATTCTGAAATTGAGTTTACCATTTCTGAAAACGAACTAACCAATTCTGAAATCGAGATTACTTTTTCCGAAATATAACTCACCGATTCCGAAATTGAAGTTGAAAAGGTATAGATCTAGAAAAGAATGAGACGAACAACTGCTGTCAGGCAGTTGAGCAGCGAGTGTCAGAGAGACAGTTATATATCGCGTTTTACATAAATAGTAGTTATGAGTCCGATATAAATTAGTGTTTCTTTAGTTCAAATAAATCAGTTCGAAAATAAATAGTGTCTTGTTCGCTTCTGCACCCGAATAACGTAACAATACAAAAGGCACAGATATTGAATTTTTCTGCTTTTTCAAGAATGGAGACCTAATGAAACGATGGGAGCTTGCTGCCGACAGAATATAAACTCAAATTATGGTACCTACCTTTTATTCCTTATATCCTCATTTCAAAGTATTCACCTATCATATTATCATCACATTCATATTACAGCACGTATTTCTTCAAAACATTTCCATGCAAAATGTTCCCAAACAAGTGCGGAAGTACAGGGTGGGCAAAATTGGGCGTTTTCATCGTCTATCTCAATAACTAGAGGAGTTATCGAAAAACCGATATACATGTTCCGGGTTCGATTTTAGAGAAACCTCGAATGGCACAATCAAAATTTCGATATATTCATTCGTTTCAGAGATACAGGGGGAAATTGAAAATTTGCCGATTTCGATTTTATTTTCTGACTACTTTACGGTGAGAGGTATCAAAAAATTCCGAACGTATATTTATACAGTATGATGCGTGGAATCCATTGGCATCATCAGAAATTTTATACAGGGTGACGTTGAAAAGATACGGCAGCCAATTATGTTTTTTCTAATGGAACACCCCGTATATTTTTGCACAGTTGAATAGTCCCAGGCGTTCTCATTACAAATATATATATAACCCTAGCTTTTCCTTCCACAATTTCAGATATATTCGCAAAAATATATTCAGTGTGTCACATTTCTTATGGTTACACCCCCGTATCTTCTGTAAAGATAGTTGAGGTAGGGTTCAAAAATTCGCAACTGTCAGAAAGATACAAATGATACACTCATGGAGTCATGGACCAGTGGGATCATCTCCAATGATAACACTGCTCGCCAGCAGCTATGGAATCATCGATATTTCTGGATAATGCTATCAACAGGCAGAATCGAGGTTGAAAATTACACTCTGTATATATTCACCAAATGTGGAAAATAAATATCATAGGGAATGTAATTTCCAGATAAAAGGATATTTGGTGAGAAATAAAATGGGAAATTATTCTATTTGATATCATTGTTATCAAGACATTTGAGATACAGAAATAAGACCAATAATTCACTCGATTAGGAAATCAGTAGGTTGCGTTGAAAATTACAGCCTTATAGAAGATGTCCAAATTCCAGATACATTTTTTTTATGGAACACCCCGTATATTTTGGCAGAGCTGGAAAGTTTCCGTTTCAATTTCAAATATAAATCTCATTTATTATCTCTTTGAACGCAAAAATATTAAGGCATACTAGAAATAATGGGTAAAGTATCATGTTCAGGCATTCTGCCACAAAATATCATGATTGTTAATGTTTCCATCGATTATTATTCTTACAGAAGATACGGGGGTGTAACCATATGAAATGTGACACACTGAATATATTTTTACCAATTTATCTGAAATTGTGGAAGAAAAAGGTAGGGTTATATATATATTTGTAATGAGAACGCCTGGGACTATTCAACTGAGCCAAAATATACGGGGTGTTCTGTTAGAAAAAAACATAATTGGCTGCTGTATTTTCTCAACGTCACCCTGTATAAAATTTCTGATGATGCCAATGGATTCCACGCATCATACTGTATGAATATACGTTTGAAATTTTTTGATACCTCTCACCGTAAAGTAGTCAGAAAATAAATTCGGAATCGGCAAATTTTCAATTTCCCCCTGTATTTCTAAAACGAATGAAGAGATCGAAATTTTGATTGTACCATTCGAGGTTTCTCCAAAATCGAACCCGGAACATAAATATAGGTTTTTCGATAACTCCTCTAGTTATTGAGATAGACGGTGAAAACGCCCAATTTTGCCCACCCTGTACGGTTCTTGAATAACACACCTCCAAAAAATCACAAATATTTTAATCAAGGTGCCATTCCTACAGAACATCTTCCGAATATCAAGTCAGAAATAATTGAAAATGAATTCAAAACTCTTAATTTCTCACAAAACATAAATTGCAGCAAAGATTTGAATAACAAAACGGCAAAAATTGATACTCCTGTTGTCGATGTCGGAGCAGAAGCAACGTCAACGTCGTTAACTGCTGAATTTTAATCTGTTTTAATCTGTAAGATTTGCTATTTGCGATTGCGAATTACCTCAAGATCACAATTTCCAGAATCAATGAAATAGTGAAATCGAAGAAATAGGTACCTGTTTATATAAATTGAATTATTTCTAAAAATTCTAAACAGATCGAGAAACTTATAGAAATTTCAATGAACATGATTGAATTCATTGCGCACGCCCATGGCAACGGTATCTGTCTGTGACTAGCAGCTGATATTGGTATCCCAGATCCCAATCAGCACCAGACATCTTAAAGACGTACATTTTACGACTCACTTACGTCTTTACGTCCAGGGACGTATAAAGTACGTCTTTAAGATGTAAATCCATGTACATCTCAAAGACGTACACGAATTTACGTCTTTAAGACGTACATTTTAGGTCGTATCCACGTCGTTCCTCCCATGTCGTATAAAAGATGTCTTAATGACGTACATTCCAGTACGTCAATTCTACTTATAGAACAATAATATAAGTTATTTTCTGAAGAAAAACAAAATGTCATCTCTTCACGTTTTTTATTTTCAATTGTTCAGTTTTTTTTTATTTTCAACAAAAGTGATGTTTTTGAATTTTTTCGTCCGACATTTTGGAGCCTTCGTGTAAGATTCTCGAATTTTTACAAAACAATCATATTGTCCGACCCCAAAAGTCCCAAAGTAATCAATTTTGAATAAAATCGGACTATAATCACAAAACTCATTTTCATTTTGAAGCCGACATCTTGGATTTTTCATTTTCGACAAAAGGAATTATAATCTCTGATCCCGAAATCCTTCAGATGCCAATTTTGAATCAGATCAGACCATAATCAGAAAACCATATGCCACATCGTCCGCCATATTGGATCCGCCATTCTGTTTTTTCCATTCAATAATAATATCACAACGAATTGTCACCGGAATAAAATTCACTTGCCAAATTTCAAATCAATCGGACGATTTAAAGTGAGTCAAATTAAACTTGCACGTTTTGATTACAAACAGACACAAGGACATGTTAAATCAAGTAAAAGCTTGTTATGTGATATACAGGGTGATTCAAAAGTAAGCGGCATCCTTTCAGAGGCGTATTCCTTGCTTGAAAATAAGGCAAAAAGTTCCTATTGATAAGGATCCGAAAATGCTTCCTAAGGGAGCTACGGCCCTTTGAATAGGACACCTCAAAGACGGTTTTTTCTCTATAACTTTAAAATCCTTCACAACAAATTTTTAAAAATTGGTGTACGGCATAAACATTCGATGGTAAATAGGACTCCGTATTCGAAATAATTTCCAAACGAAATCACAGTAACCTGAATATCCGGAGAAGAAGGGATATTTTTACACTTACCCTCTCCCGCATGTGACGCCCCTGAATGAAATTCTGAAATTTCGAATACGGAGTCCTATTTACCATCGAATGTTTATGCCGTACACCAATTTTTAAAAATTTGTTGTGAAGGATTTTAAAGTTATAGAGAAAAAACCGTCTTTGAGGTGTCCTATTCAAAGGGCCGTAGCTCCCTTAGGAAGCATTTTCGGATCCTTATCAATAGGAACTTTTTGCCTTATTTTCATGCAAGGAATACGCCTCTGAAAGGATGCCGCTTACTTTTGAATCACCCTGTATAGAACAAACAGAGTAACAGAAGAAGTGAATATGGTATAATCATCGAAGTCAAGCAACAAAGAGCGCGGTTAGTACTTGAATGTGACCGCTTGTGTATACCGTTTGATGAAGTCGTTTATTTCCCTTCTTTTTTCGCTTGTCTGCACTTGTTGCTAACTTCAGTGCACAGGTGAAAATCAACTGAGACTATGTGATTTTTCCGTAATTTGAGAGATCAATTTGAGGTCATGGACCAAAAACACCTAAAAAAGACGTCTTAAAGACGTACATATTAGTGGAAAATGAACGTTTTAAAGACGTCTTAAAGACGTCTCTTGGGCGTAATATGTACGTCTTTAAGACGTACTTATGTCCCGACATGTACGTCTTAAAGACGCCTTTAAGACGTACTTTGGCTGATTGGGATGACGTCACATAATATGCGCGTAGGCACACATCTTCTCCTTCTCCCGACGAATTTAGAACGGGGGATCTTGAACAGAAATATTGCATCTTCCAAGCACTGCATACCGATTGAAAATCCATTGATTTTCTAAAGAGATATGGCAGTTTGGAAATTGTCAAATATTTCAGTGGTCCACTTGTTTCTTTGAGCACTTTATCAGTAAGTAATGATTATTGCGATAGAATTACCTGTAGGCAAGAAGTGAGGTCGACCATCTTCCCATCGTGATCGGAACTCCAAAGCAGATCGTTGTCGATGAAGGGCATCGCCATCAGCGACATGGGCGACGATGGGGTGACCCCCCCAAGTCGCAGGACGTTCGTCCCCGCCAACGTGCCGCCCCTGGCTCGCTTTTCCTCCTCTCTCTCTCTCCTTCTCCTCCTCCTTCTCTGTCTCTCCTCCCCCTCTTCCTCCTCCTCCGCCAGTTCTGCCCCCCACTCTTCCGCCGCTGCCTATCCGACGGTGGTCGGCCCGTAATTCAATCTCAGGAGAGATCTATTCGAAAAGAAATAATAATATATTAACATTTATTTATTTCATTCTTTGCTATAATAGTTATTTATGTAATAAGGATCATAAAGACGATCATTATGGTACAAGTCGTGAATGTTATCGGGCGAGGCGTAGCCGAGTCCGATAACACGGCGTGTGCCATAATGATTGTTTATGATTCGTATTACATACAAAATTTTATCTGATGGCATTTATATCAATACATTTTCGAAAAATTAAAAACTGCATTATCGACATGTCACAATGACAACTATTTTTAAAGGAGTAAGTATTGTGTAGTTTCAAATATTAGTAGGTGAGTGAGCTGTGCTTTGCCATTATATTAATATTACAAATTGTAGTAATTGTTCTTTTACCATTTATAATAAATAGTTTTGTACATAGTTATGCATTTTGAATAAACTTTTTTGATCAAACCATTACATGTTTTCCTTATAGAATTTCATTATGGTACTTAGTACCATAATGAATTCATTATGGGACTAAGTTCATTATGTTTCATTATGGTTCATTATGGTACTTAGTCCCATAAGGAGCTTCCTTATGTCATCAAAATTGAGTGACATAACGTTGTCATTATGACATGCCATCAGATAAACATTACATTGCATCTCATATAAATATAAATACAGTGTGTCCCACTTACCATGCTCACCATGGGTATCTTTTTAACGGTGCGAGATACGAAGTCGGTTAAATGACACCAAATGTGGAGTTTGTCAAGGCCAACTATAATGTGAAAAAATATTTCGATAAAATCTATTCGTTTTTGTTTTATACGCAAAAAACAGATTTTGATCATTTTCATGTCTCCTCCGTAACTTCTTTATTTATGAAAATATTCAAATAGGCATTTCACATTCTCATGGCAGGTTTTCAAAGTGATTTCGTGAAAAAAATGAAATTTATACCAACATTTCTAGAATTTGAGTTATCAGCACCAACTTTAGTTTTTCAAATGTAGGTCAAAGCTCACTATGACTTAGTTACAAATGACTTTTTTTTCTCTTACAGATGATATGTCGCAGTAATAGTTTTGTGTTGATAACAACGGAGTTATCGTCATTCATACAGAAACAAGAAATTATTTGGAAGCCGCCATCTTGAATTTATGAATTTTAACAAAAAAATCATGATCTCCGACCTCAAAAACCCCCACTAACCAATTTTGAATGGAATCGGACCAAATCTTGTCCGCCATCTTGGAGCAGCCATTTTTTTCAATTTCAACAATAAATCCATAACTCCGATTTACTTGAAATTTGGCTGGTGTTCATAATTTCGGTGACAATACATTATGGAATTTTTGTTAAATTTAAAAAAAAATGGCTGCTCCAAGATGGCGGACTAGATTTGGTCCGATTCCATTCAAAATTGGTAAGTGGGGGTTTTTGAGGTCGGAGATCATGAAAAATTTATAAATTCAAGATGGCGGCTTCCAAATAATTTTTTGTTTTTGTATAAATGACGATTACTCCGTTATTATCAATATAAATCTATTACTGCGCCATATCATCTGTAAGAGAGAGAAAAGTTATTTGTAACTAAGTCATAGTGAGCTATGACCTACATTTGAAAAACTGAAGTTGGTGCTGATATCTCAAATTCTAGAAGAGTTGTTATAAATTTCATATTTTTTTCGATATCACTTTGAAAAACTGTCATGAGGATGTGAAATTCCAATTTGAATATTTTCATAAATAAAAAAGTTACGGAGGAGACATGAAAATGATCAAAATCTGTTTTTTGCGTATAAAACAAAAACGAATAGATTTTATCAAAATATTTTTTCACATCATAGTTGGCCTTGACAAACTCAACATTTGATGTCATTCAACCGACTTCGTATCTCTCACCGTTAAAAAGATACCCATGGTGAGCATGGTAAGTCAGAGAGTGGGACACACTGTATAATCATTAACATTTTCAATGGAATAACATGAATAATCAGACAGATTCATATCTGGTATGAGATTATTCATGCGTTATCAAATTAAATTATAGTTATTGAAATAAACAACAGAATCAAAAAAAATAATAATAAAACAAAAAGCTCATGAAAAGTACATTATGACATAATGAAATAAATTAGTCAATGAGAAATCATTCACTCATGTTTGATTTTCTCGTTGCAAGAGGATATGTTTCTTGACTTTGATTTTGAATTGGGTGATATTTGTGCAACTTTTGATATCATCAGGTAATTTATTGAATTTTCAGATAGCTCCGTGAGTGAACTTTTTTTGACCAAGTATAGAATGAGCAGCATCAAGATGAAACAAGTCATATTGTCTAGTATGATGTTCATGGATTTGAAAATTCCTTACCAATATGTAGTTAGATTTGAGGTGTTTGTTGATAATATCAAGAGAAATTTTGAGAGTATTCATCAGATAGTGCTCTTCCAAAGAAAATGTATTTGTTTCTACATAAAGTTGATTTGATGGGGTGTCATGGAAGATGATACAGTACTTTTAATGCTTTTTTATATAGTACAGATACTTTGTTGAAATTATTCTTGGATTATGTTGCACAGCATTATTGTCACGAGTAGAACATACGGTATATTAATCCAGTAACTTTATACATCACATCAGTATGCGTCAAATCGTTGTTTTATCGGTGGTATAACGGTCAAATCCGGTAGTTCTGATTTTTTGCAGACTTGTTCATGATGTTGATCTAATGAATAATACAAGTTTTTGACCTTGAGCGCCGAACGCAACTTTGTCAAAAATCGAAAAAAACAGCGAAAAACTCGTTTTTTTTTCAGTTTTTGGCGATTATAACCCTAAAGGACTAGTTTTTGAAGAAAAGTCTTTCAGAACATTTTTAAAGTAGACCACATTTGCTACTATATGACATAAAAACTGTCTATGTAGACTCATTAGTTTCCGAGATTGAGCCTTTCAAAGTTTATAATTTTTCTCGAACTTCGAAATTCTGTGCAATCCTGTCGTTCTGATTTAATTTTGACCCTGATTATACAATCGAAGCCCTGTACTTTCATGAAACTTTTTTCAATACAAATTGTCACTGACAAGCTAATGCATTTTTCTTTTAGGAAATGTCTTTAAACGCAGTGACATTTTGTCCGGATTTTTTGTCGGTTCAAAAAAGTATCAATTTTTTCAGGGAAAAAAACTATTGATAACAATAAACTTTTTCCCTCGAGTTGAAGTTTCACATGACATATTTTCCTTACCTAGAAATGTCACGATGAATATCAAACGTTTTCCAATACATGAACGCAGCTTCCATGCAAATCTGAAACAAAAAAGAGAAATATACATGGGATGAAATTGTCACAAAATAAGATATCTTTGTTTATACTTTGTTAAGAAGGAATATACATTTCTCATAATCAAACCATTCGAAATGAGAATATCATGTTTTTAGGAACAAAGTAGAGATATTATGTTGTCAAATTGAAAATAATTTCATTAATTTCCGTAATTGGGATTATCAACAACTCTATGGAATATCAGTAGAATAGTTATTTACGTAACAAGTCCGGAAAATACCGTTTTTTTGGAGGAGTAGACAAAATTCTAGGCAGAGCCGTAGGCGAGTCGCGAGTCCTGGAAGTTTTTGGACGTCTTTCGTTCACTATTTTTTCGACAAACATATAGAATAACAAATCAATGAGACATATTTCCATATTATATTTTTTTGTAGGTACTGAAATTTGAACAGAATACCTATACCTTCTAATTGTTACATTGGAAATTTCGTATGGAAATTTTCAAACTCACTATCTCAGCTGCGCTTTCGATAGTTTATTGCGATAATTGCAACAAAGTTTCAATAATTAAAATGTCAACTTATTTCATGTCAAATAGCTGTCAGCCGATATTTCGCTGTTATGGTAATTATCATCTGCATTCATCAAAACCATAATACACTCAGTTCCGAAAAAAGTGACGCACTTCTTAAAAAAAAAAACAAAAAATAGTAGGCCGATTTTTTTTTATTTGTTGGTAGGTAATGCATTCGTCTTTGAAAAAAAAATATGGAGAGGTGAAATTTTTTCAAAGCCTCCTTGATGGTGGTGGAATAACTCGAACCATGATTTATTCTTAATTTTTGAATCACCCAGTGTGTTCATTGAGTAATGGCATGGAAAGTGCTTACAACCTATACAAAAGAGGCTTCTTTTGCGAGCATTTTGTTTTTTTATTCATTGATTTATCTCTAAAATTTTCCGAATTACAGCTTTTTTGCTTACGCTTATCCCACAAATTAAATTTATTGAAGGATCAGAGTACTCAAAATTGAATGGGTTGTACTCTGGTAGGATCACATTGTCTTCAAAAAATCAAATGCCATTGCCATAGCAACTAATTTGCTGTATGCCTCCATATTTGACCATATGTCGTTGTGTCATTAATTAAGTGTCTTGTTTTACTGACTAAAATTACATAAAATGCCTCAAATAAATCCTGAACAAGTAGCAAGATTAGTTGCGTTAGTGAACGATGGGCGTAGTAAACGTTACGCCGCTCGTGCAGTGGGAGTTCATGAAGCAACTGCTCGTAGAGCAATCTGCAAGTACGAACAAACAGGAAGCACCGCTCGGAGGGTCGGTTCTGATCGCCCCCGAAAAACTTCTCCAAGAGATCATCGCTTCTTGAGATTGCGGATTTTACGGAATCGATCAAATACTGCGGTAAATGTTCAGCAAGATCTTCGCCAAATTCGTGATGTTGCAGTAAGTCAGCAGACGGTATGTAGACGTCTAAAAGAAGTCAATTTAAAAGCTAGGAGACCTGCAAAAGGTCCCAAATTATTGCCCGAACATCGTGCTGCAAGAAGAAATTTTGTTGAAAATTGTGGACAGTGGAATATTCCTGAATGGTCGAATGTCTTGTTTACGGATGAGTCAAAGTTTTGCCTTGACATAGTGGATGGAAGAAAAAGAGTGTGGAGAAGAACTGGAGAACGGTTTAATCAAAATTTAATAACAGAATACGAAAGTTTCAATGGTGGGTCCGTTATGGTGTGGGGAGGGATTTCAATGAATGGAAAGACACCCCTTCATGTTTTTCCGGTGAGGCAGCGGTCGATGAATGCCCAAATTAACATTGACATTTCAGAGCAGTATGTCTTACCTTATGCAGAGTTAGTGGGCAATAATTTTATATTGATGCAGGATAATGCTCGACCACACACCGCAGCAATAGTGCGAAACTTCTTAGAAGCTACTGGTATTACCACATTACAATGGCCTGCGAGAAGCCCCGATATGAATCCTATAGAACATTTGTGGGATGAATTAGGGAGAAAGGTACGTTCTCGCGAGAGGTCTCCGGAAAGTCTCGCAGAAATGGCAGATGCATTAGTGGAAGAATGGGATCGTATACCAATGGAAACGATAAGCAACTTAATTTCCAGTATGCCTCGTAGATTAGGAGTTCTTAGAGTTGCTAGAGGAGGCAATACACGGTATTAAGTAGTCATCTCAATTTATAATTTTGTGTTTAATAAAAATATTTTTTTAAATTATTGGTATCAGTTTATTTCATTAGGAAATTGTTTCTCGATAAATTCAGAAAGTTGGTAATCTGCAAGGATACAGCAAAAAAAGCTGTAATTCGGAAAATTTTAGAGATAAATCGATGAGTAAAAAAACAGAATGCTCGCAAAAGGAGCCTCTTTTGTATAGGGCGTAAGCACTTTCTATGCCATTACTCAATTGACACACAGGGTGAGTCAAAAATTAAGAATAAATCATGGTTCGAGTTATTCCACCACCATCAAGAAGGCTTTGAAACAATGTTCACCTCTTTATTTTTTTTAAAGACAAATGCATTACCTACCAACAAATTGAAAAAAATAAAAATCGGCCTACTATTTTTTTTTAAGAAGATAGGTCAAATATCAAGTGCGTCACTTCTTTTGGAGCTGAGTGTATCTACCAAGATTTTCATAGTTACAGTGACAACAATGATGTGATAATTCCCGGACTAGGCCGTAAAAATGCTACTTTCTCAAAGAAAAAGCGTCCGGGAAGTGATCACTTCCCGGACAGTTGCCGAAAAATAATTTTGTTTGAAAGAAACTTGAAATTTTCTGTATTTGAACGAGTTCATTCAGTGCGGCAGCGGTTTTTTAATAACATTCACTCGGACATTGAAGAGAAACATGAAAGGAGGAAACGAAATTTTAATATTAGAGAGCATCATTCTAAATTCAGTGAATGTTACAAAATAAGTCAAGGTAAAGGTAATATTTAATTGAATTGAATAAATAAGAATTTTCATTAGAAAAAAGAAATGAAACAACTATCCTTGTGCGAAAGTATAGTGAGATCAAGAACCTTTTTACATAAAACGATTTCATTCCGCAACCAGAAAAAATAATTAATCCTGTTATAATTGGTGTATGCAATGCTATTAATGAGCAATCAAGTAATGAGAAAGGTTATGAAATGAAAATAATGCAAATTCCATTAAACTGCAGCGTATTATGTTACGTCACTTTCACTTATTCCAAATGAAAAGTTCATTTCTCCGTGTAGGTCGATGGCAAGGACTGCAAGGAGAAAGTTGAATAAACTGAAAAACATGAGGATTGATTCTAATTGGAATGTGATTAATTCAACGTGAATTCTAACGAAAGCAAGCCATTTCGACATTTTGTGCATGCATGCATCAATCTCCTTCGATCAAATATAACAATTTCGTATTTTAAACACCCTTTGGGTGATATTGATTTACTAGTGAAATTTCCAAATCCTTTCTCGACTAATATTCAAAACTTATCTAATGATAACTTCCATCAAGAAACCATTAGAAATAAAAAATAAATGTGTATAACGATAATGAAAATAACAGCAGTTGATCTAGAAATAGAAAGTATCTTGTAGTAATATATATGATTGTTGGTTCTATACTTTCACATTCAAATCATAATAGTTATCTTGGTCGTTTTTTCGCATGAAATACCACTTTGTTCAAAATATGCAATACACGATGAATGAATTTCTCACTACAGAAGGTACCATTTTTATCTTGTTTTTCACAAATATACATGGCAAACATCGATGTATTGATGTTTTCGGAAAAGAAAAAATAATATATGGATTTACTGTGAGATAATTCACTTGGTATGTATCAAAAAAGCCATACATACACGTAGTTTCACATTGATATCGAAAGTAAAAACCCAAACCTGTCCAACAATTATTTAAGTTCTTGTGTTCGTTTTAATAGAACACCACATTGTTTCTGCAAAATCCAGAAAAAAATACTCTTCCTTTTAGGACTATATACAGTGTGTCCCACTTACCATGCTCACCATGGGTATCTTTTTAACGGTGAGAGATACGAGGTCGGTTAAATGACACCAAATGTGGAGTTTGTCAAGGCCAACTATAATGTGAAAAAACATTTTGATAAAATCTATTCGTTTTTGTTTTATACACAAAAAACAGATTTTGATCATTTTCATGTCTCCTCCGTAACTTCTTTATTTATGAAAATATTCATATAGGAATTTCACATTCTCATGGCAGTTTTTCAAAGTGATTTCGAAAAAAATATGAAATTTATACCAACTCTTCTAGAATTTGAGATATCAGCACCAACTTTAGTTTTTCGAATGTAGGTCATAGCTCACTATGACTTAGTTACAGTTACCTTTTTTTTCTCTTACAGATGATATGTCGCAGTAATAGTTTTGTGTTGATAACAACGGAGTTATCGTCATTTACACAAAAAAAAAATTATTTGGAAGCCGCCATCTTGAATTTATAATTTTTAACAAAAAAACATGATCTCCGACCTCAAAAACCCCCACTAACCAATTTTGAATATAATCGGACCAAATCTTGTCCGCCATCTTGGAGCAGCCATTTCTTTAATTTCAACAAAAATTCCATAATGTATTGTCACCAAAATTATGAACACCTGCCAAATTTCTAGTTAATCGGAGTTATGGAATTTTTGTTGTTGTATAAATGACGATAACTGCGTTGTTATCAACATAAAACTATTACTGCGACATATCAACTGTAAGAGAAAAAAAAGTTATTTGTAACCAAGTCATAGTGAGCTATGACCTACATTTGAAAAACTAAAGTTGGTACTGATATCTCAAATTCTAGAAGAGTTGGTATGAATTTCATATTTTTTTCGAAATCATTTTGAAAAACTGCCATGGGAATGTGAAATTTCTATTTGAATATTTTCATAAATAAAGAAGTTACGGAGGAGACATGAAAATGATCAAAATCTGTTTTTTGCGTTTAAAACAAAAACGAATAGATTTTATCAAAATATTTTTTCACATTATAGTTGGCCTTGACAAACTCCACATTTGGTGTCATTTAACCGACCTCGTATCTCTCACCGTTAAAAAGATACCCATGGTGAGCATGGTAAGTGGGACACACTGTATACAGCTGAATTTTTCGGTGTTTGGACATTTTGAATGTACTATTTCTATATACAGGGTGTCCCATAAGTAATAGATCAGAAGAAGTGGGGTGGTAGAGGGGGCGGGTCATTTGTAATCAAACTCACTGTATATGTATTGTTATCAAATTATTGATGGTTCCAAAGTTATTCGATTCTTCTGAAAATTGACACCCATTTGAAAAAAATGGACAACAAAAAAGGCCGTTCTGAATAACCCCATATGTTATACCATTTCGGAATCTGTAATAAATGGGCAATATTTTCTTATGATTGGTTATCTTTGTGGGGTAGTTCTCAAATCTGCCAGCGACATTCAAAAATCGACTTGAAAATTTCATTCGATGACAAAACTCAAGAAAAACAACATTTTTCTCAGGTAATTGAAAAAAAGTAATACATGTCATGAAATTATTTCTGGGAAAAGGTAGATCCATGTGGATGAAAATTGTAGAAGAAAAAATCAAAAATGTGACGTACTTTTATTGTAATTAATTCTTTTTATAGAAATGCGAAAACATTAATAACTTTTGAACCATCAAAAATTGGATAACCACATATACGGCATCGAATATCAACTTTCGATACGGTTAGTTCGATTGGAAATGACCCTCCTACCACCCCAATCCTTTTGATACATGACTCAATTATGGGACACCCTGTATAGCGCATCGCCTATATGATATCTCAACAAAAATGGGACCAAAATGAGAGTGCAGAATGGAAACTGCTGACGTGAGGATCAGATTTCAAGTTAGGTTAGGTTCCTAAATAATTATTTGATCATAATAAAATAGTAAAAATCATCAATAATTGTTGTTGATACCCTGGATGATACCACAGTATGATACCGTCAACTTCGATTTATTCCTTTATAATGTGGTTAAAATATAGCAAAGCATAATGCCAGTAACTTTGAGGATCAGATCAGGAGAGAGCCATTGCAGATGAAAATAATGAAATGAACTGCGATAATGATTTCATTCAGTTCGGTGGAATCTCAAAACTATAACACCTTTTAATCCAACATTATTGCTTCAGATCTTGGTATTGAATATTGAATATAGGTCAAGGGTTAACCTAGGTATATGTATTCTTTTTCTCAAATCTGTTTAGAATGATATTATGGGACTACACAACACTACTTGTCATTTACTGATTCAAACTTGGTTTACTTCAAGGAAATTACCATTATATTATGCTTGTTGCTGGATGATTGATAACTCCATTGATAATGAATGAGAAAAATGGCTGATGCTTCATTGTCAAACTCATGTTCAATCAACCATTACCTACAAAGCTTTGGATTTTATCAAATGTAATCATGTTTTTTGTCAATATAGGTAAAATAGCCTTTATTTGTACCTATGCATCAGATAAGATATTATTATCGAAAGCTTTCTCCTAAATCCTAACTTCAGTTCAATGATTTTCAGTTTCAGATCTACCTACTTATTTGCAAGCCAAATATTTTGAAAATTCAAACTTACTTATGGAAATTATAGAAAGAGGATTCCTGTCTATTCTTCACTCCGCAAATGCATCTCAATCTATGACTAAAACACAAACACTAAATAATTGTACAACTAAAAACGCAAATATTCGAATTTCAATCACAATCAGTCACATCCGCGCTAAAACCAATTTGAAAATTTGAAATTCGTAGCCATGTTGGTTTAACAAGTTTCGTATAATTTTTTATATGTTTTTTCCCTACGTCGGCATAAAGGTGGATCGGCATCAACGCCTATTGGTCGATTTCGCTACCTATCCTAGAGTGACTATATAAATATTTATATAGTCACTCTAACCTATCCTATAGAGACAGAAGTTGTTCCCGCTTTGAGGACAGCAGAAGATATATATACTAACCATACTAGAATATTTCTCCTTACAATTTTTTTGAATTGTATTCCACCTCTATCCTGTAAATCAGTGATTAATTTTAGACCAGTCCCCACGATAAAAGTTGATCGACGCTGCTGCCTTAGCTCGGACGCGAACCAATGTTCAAGGACGCTGACTGGCCGACCAAGTAACCTCACAGGCAGTGTTGCCTAATGAAGAGATTCCCCTGATTTTTGGGTATTTGATATCGTAAGGTAGGAATTTTGGCATTTGGGGTAGTAATTGAACAGTCAAAGTTAGAAAATATGAAAAAAAGACTGAGTTGAAAATCATTCAAAGATTGATCAGAATCTGTTTTTGATTTGGATGCTCATAAATTGATAAACATGGAAAATGATTATATTCAGTAGGGTATTCTTGGAAACCTCTTTTTGTGAGGTCTTCATTTCTATGGTGGGGGTGAGGAAATATCAGAGTCACAGGAGTGGTACTTTTTATAATGTTTCACCCGGAACAGAAAATTGTACATTGAAATGCTTAATACATGAGGTATTATTACTTTGATTCAATGCATTATGCACAAGATATATGAATATAATTCCTTGATCAGTCTTCTTTTTGAATTTTATTCAAAGTAGGTAAAGCATACACTACACTGTTTTACCACTAACCAAACCGATTTTTTTAACGCCTCAACACGTGTTTCGCTAACTATGTTAGCATCTTCAGGAGAAGATTAAAACTAAATATCCTATTCTAGTGTGCTGCTTATATACTAGGTATATGTTTACCCAACTGTGAAAAATACTAACCGTCAAGTTAATGTTTGTCATGGTTGAGTTCACATGTTAATCTAAATTTTTATTTTACTAAACTATATAGGTAAAGCATTAAAAGTCATCTGGCAACACCGCAGTGCCGGCGCAGCGCACTCTGTCACTCAGTCAGTGTTGCCAGACCTGGTACATTTGTATAGATTCAGTACAATTTGTATCCTTTAGTACATTAGTACCATTCACCCAAATCTGGTACAACAAAGTTGGGAAGAAAAAGTATGAATGACTGACAGATCTTCTTGTTATGAGCATGACTATCAGCCAATCAGATGACTGACCATAATGAGAGACAGACAACATGACTCATGAGCCATGTCTCATGTCTTCTCAATCTCCTTCTCAAGTTTCACTGATAATCGTCAAGGCATAACCGCCTGACTTGGTAATTGAACTTTAGGTGGATGACACACCTAGATAGGAATTTTTTTCATTCAATTCACTTTTTCGTCATTTTTTATATATGAAGTAGCCATTACAGATTTTGAAAAATGAAAAATATTGCCCATCTTTTCGTTCTCATCGTTTTCTCCCTGAATTCCATGTCTGGTACATTCCACGTGGTTCTAGTACAACTCTATAGTGATTTCAGTACAATTAGCTTCTATCTTCTGGAGTTCCGGCAACCGGCCCGGCAACACTGCACTTCTGCACTCAGTGACCTCAGTGTTTTCATTGCTATGGCGGACGACACAGACGTGGTGGAGATAATCGACCTAGAAGACGACGATAGCGATGTGGAAATCATCGAAATCGGCAAGGACGATCCACGTTTGGACTTTTTCAGTGACAAGTTCGATCCCCTGTTGGCTTTGCGAGCGCCCGGCGTCGAGGTGCTCGATTCCACGGCGAAAGTCTTCGACAATTTGTCTGCTTACGAAGTGCACAAAGACGACGAACAGAATCCCAACGCCAAGACGGGTAGAAAACAACCCAAGAAGGCGGCCGAAGAGACGGTGATACAAAGGAAATGGAAGGAACATCAGCGTAGGTTCATTAAAATTACTAATAGTCAGAAGATGTTAGAAAATTAACGTTGTTTACGTTTTGTTTTTGACATAACCTCAAATATTCACGTGTGCGGCTAGTGCTTCATCTGTCAACGCGGTTTTTGTTTCATCCATGGTCACGTGTGAGAGCAGGGCCGTAGTACTAGGAGGGCAAAATCAATGTTAATTATGCACTTATGCAATGGTTTTTTCGTGATTCACGTGAAAGTGAATTCTTGCATATTTGACATGCAGCGTGGGTATGTCCTTTTTGATTGAATAATCATCAGCTGGTATGCTTGTTCAAGGCCGCTGACAACGCGGTGATACCAAGGAAATGGAAGGAACATTAAGTAGTTTCATTAAAATCACATTCAGAAATTTATCGTTGTTTACGTTTTGTACGTGGTTCGAGGACATAACCTCAAATACTCGCGTGTGCGATGATAGCGCTTTAACCTGTCAACGCTGATGGTCACATGTGAGAGCAGGGCCGTGGTACTAGGAGGTCAATATAAATTGGGGTAATTTTTGTTTTTCACGTGTTTTCATTCGAAAAACACGAATTCCTTAATGAAAATGTGAATAAACCTCCATTTATCGACATATTTCATGAAATAGTTCAAAATTTCACCATCCTTTCCGTCTGTATTTCATACGCAGTGGTTTGCCCACATTTTCATTATAAAATTCGTTCTTTAAAATTAAAGATGAATGCAACATTATTCGAGTTTCACTAATGTGTTTGTGAATTTTGCCTACGCCTCATTGGTCGTACGAACCTCCACAAGACCACAACATACATCATACGTATCGATGAACTCAAAGAACGCATTCACACGAATAACTCCGAAACTCACTTTGGATTTGGAAGTTATCAAAAGGTTCGATAGGTAAAAGTTCACTGCTTTCTTACATCACAGACTTTTTCCAAAAATTGCATGCAATTCGATTGCTGGACTTTTTTAAATATCAACTGCGCAGGCCTGTTGGATAGTTTTCATACAACTAATAGGCTTGACGGAAATTAGAAAATATTCTAATATTTGAGGTCATTCTCATGCAACTTTGCATATTTCTGGGGATCTTATGATTTGACCAGTGACATAAAACTTTCGCTAGTAGCTAAATATACCTCAGTTATAAATCAAGGGTTATAATCAATTTTTCTCTTGGCGATATACTGTTGCCGAAAAAAGTATCTCTTTTCTTAATTCCATACTCAATTTTCTCCAATAACTTATTGAAAGTGGACTCATCTATGCGCAGGTAATTTTTGAAGGCTTTCAAGTCATTACAATCTTTAAATTCATTCTTGATATTCAAGTTTCCCATTTTTGCATTTAATCATGTTTTTTTCCTATAAGTTCTATTCCTTTTTCAATACGTCTTTTAATATAAGTGGCAAGAACCGCAGATACTGTTATGAGTAGAACAGCTTTTTATTTTTCAATATTCATTTTGAAACGATCCACATTCCACAGCTCGTTCCACAGTACAAAAATAAAAATAATATGCTAGGTTCACGGATGAGACGCCACCTAACCTCATATAAATCGTGTCTTTGATAAAATGTCAAGAAAAGTCTTGGAAAACTGCAGTAAAAAGGCTCAAATGTAAGAAGACGAATTTTTAGTTTCAATCCGCAACTTATATTGCATGCAATCGAACTGCAGAAAAAAGTCTGTAATGTAAGAATAGCTTTACTGTATTGAGGGTGAGCAATGTCATCAGAATAATCATCAGTTCTATCAAACTTGAGTAATATAACGAGCACTCAGTAGGTATTTCTACTTGCGATTGTTCAAATAGTGTTTTGAAAACAACACACAGATCTGATACTAGAACATTAAACGATAGTCTGTGACTATTATGCACCATGTAAATAGTCGCTAATAGAGCGTGTTGATTGGTCCTGTCTCCTGTCAAACAGGAAACAAACGTATCATTGGTTGATGACTGATATTTAATAGACGAAAGAAATAATCAGTACTATTTATTGATAGTTTCATACGCCCTGTACATGAGAACGGTAAAATATGCAAAATTATCTAATCTACAAGCGCTCATATGACTCGAAATTGGCTATTAGTCAATCCGACAACCTGCTGTCTAAATCGAGCACCGACAGTCTGAGGAGACCTCTATGATAATAAAGAAAAAAAAATCTCGTCATGCCATTATGCAACACTCGCTCTTTTTTACGCGCCTGCCGCTCGGCTCATTCCTGACCGGCTACGATGCACATGCAGTAGTAGTCGCGATTCTTACGACGTTGCCAGATCCACGAAAATCGATTGGAAAATCCTACGAAAATAAACTCGTCAACAAACGAACGAAGTGTATTATCCATGAATAAACTGGAGAACAATCGAGGTGTGATAGATCTATACATCATACCTGTAGGTTCTCAGGAAGAGGTTTTTTAAATTCCTCTATACGGTTCCTTCAAGCATAATATGGTTTCCCTTTAAAAGTAAAATTACTTCAATCCAATCAGAGTTTGTTAATAAATTCTCAATTCATTGAATCACGATAGCTTATGATTAAGATCTTACATGAAGAAAAGAGATTAATTGCACTAAGAAAATATGTTTTTCTATGGAAGTCTTCAATCTATGCCTATACCTACGACAAAATACTGTAACAAAACTTTTACAACATTATTGTTAGTACAACAAACATTTTGTCACGTGACTAGCGAGGTGGCCAGTAAGTAGGTAAGTATATTTGATATTTTATCGTGGTGGACAAAATAATTAGTTGATTTGATCAATCTGTTTTCTCCGTGTAGTCTCGTTCTTAGTACGAAGTACTAGATTCAGGTTCAGTAAATTTTTCAACGGATATAAAAGTAATATGGAATAATGTTCAAGACATTAACATTCAATGATGTTACCAACCTCATAACCTCAAACTTTGGTACGTATATTTTTCCACTTACTGTTGATGTCTAATGATCACTAGAAAGCTGTAGACTTGTTCTTTCTCTCTCATCTATACTAAGAAAGATTTGATTGTTTGTTTCTTTGTTTGTATGTATTGAATAGGTTCCGAAACTACTGGATCGATTTCGCTGAAAATTGGTGGGGCAGTAGCTTAGAACCAGGAGAAGATTATAGTATACTTTTTACCTCGGTACCATTAGGAAATTCAAGGTGGCGGATCTAATATATCGGACGAGTTTCGTAATTATAGTCCGATTCTATTCAAAATTGGTTTCTGGGGGTTTTCGGGGTCGAAGATTATGATTCTTTCGTCAAAATTTGAAAATTCGCACAGAATGTGGAAATTCAAGATGGCGGAACCAATATAGCGGACAAGTTTTGTAATTATAATCCGATTCTTTTCAAAATTGGTAGGTACCTAGGAATTCTCGTGATCGGGGATTATGATTCCTTCGTCAAAATTAACAAATTCAAGATGGCGGATCCAAAATGGCGGATTTTGTAATTAGGATCCGATTTTATTCAAATTTGGTATCTGGTGGTTCTCGGGGTGGGAGATTATGATTCTTTCGTCAAAATTAGGAAATTCAAGATGGCGGACCCAATATGGCGGACGAGTATTGTAATTATGATCCGACTCTCTTCAAAATTGTTATCTGGGTGTTTTCGGGGTCGGAGATTATGATTCTCTTGTCAAAATTTGGAAAGGGCGGAATTTGTAAATTCAAGACGGTGCGGAACCAATATATCGGACGAGTTTTGTAATTATATACAGATTTTATTCAAAATTTGTGAGTTGGCGTTTTCGGGATCAAAAATTATGATGTGGGGTTTTAGTAGTCGGATATTATGATTCTTTCGTCAGAATTGGGAAATTCAAGTAAACTAAAAAGAAGTTGAAAAACTAAAGAAACACGCTTTTATTGATAGCGAAACTAAAAAGAAGTAGATGTGATGTGATGAATATTGAACTGAAGAAAAATATTATAGAAACAATGTATATAGTAAAACAACGTTTGCGAAGTCTGCTAGTCTTTTAATAAAGAGCTATAGATTCCGCATTATCAAGTTTAGCAAGTCTGCTTTGTTCCTAGATAAAGATGGGTAAGTACGTTCCTATTTTTCATTGGCAACACTGGCTTATCTAGTCACAGCCAACGGCGATGTGTGCGAACTTAGTCTAGGAGGTCATCGACCTCCACGGCCAATGTTGCTGGTGCTATGTTTCACAAACGCCGGTTCGTGTCCTGTGTGTGGTGCATGATGTTGATGTTTCTAGTATTATTATCATATCATGAACGAAATTATCTTGTATAGTACACGCAATCGCAACACTCAAGTTCATAGTTCGGTGTTGTTAACCTAAAGAAAGTCCTACCTGCTTCCAAACCAGTCAGCTGAACATGAATGAATAAAGAATAAATTGTCATCTATACGCTAGTCTAAATATTGGTATTAGTTACCTGAATGAAACCAAAACCAATAAATCATTACCTATGGATATTATTTTTGGAACCCTACCTTTCCGCCTATATGAGCTTTATCATAGACCAACAGACCTCGCAAACGTTGTTTTGCTTTATGTACATTATTTCTATAATATATTTTTTCAGTTCAATATTCATCAATACACTATTATTATTTTATTTTCTACTTCTTTTTTGTTTCGCTATCTATAAAAGCGTGTTTCTTTAGTTTTTCAAACTACCTACCATTTATTTCAACTTCTTTTTAGTTCACTTGAATTTCCCAATTTTGACGAAAGAATCATAATATCCGATTCCTGAAACCCCAGATGAAAATTTTGAATAGAATCGAAACATAATTACAGAACTCGTCCGCAATATTGGATCTGCCATCTTGAATTCCCAAATTTTGACGAAGAAATCCTAATATTTGATCCCGAAAACGCCCACTTACAAATTTTGTATAAAACTCGTCCGGTATATTGGTTCCACCGTCTTGAATTTCCAAATCCCGCCCTTTCCAAATTTTGACAACAGAATCATAATCTCCGACCCCGAAAACACCCAGATAACAATTTTGGAGA